GGGGGGGGGGGGGGCATTGGACCCGCCAGAGGACCCTCCGGAGGACCCAGCTCCTTCTGGGGCTCCTGGACTCGCCCCCCCTTGTGCTCAGCCTACAGCCCCGAGCTGGCCTCTGCCCTGCACACCTACCGGATCCCCCCCTCCCAAGCCGACGAGATGGCTCTGGCCGCGGAGTTTGACCAGCCGGACAAGACCCGGAGGTGGCGGGAGGGGCTGCTGAAGTCCAGCTTCAACTACCTGCTGCTGGACCCCAGGTAGGAGGCCCTCGGGGGGGTGGGGGGAGAGGGGACCATGGCTGCCTGGGCCGGAGTGCCTGGCCCAGCTTTGCGGGCTGCAGGGAGAGCCCCGCTGTGGCTGATGGTCTCGTGGCTCTGCTCTTCCGCAGGGTGACCCAGAACCTGCCTGCCCGCTGCCAGCTGCTCAGCCCAGCCCAGGCCTTCCAGACCTTCGTCCAGGCCGTCTTCTACGTGGGCAAGGGGACGCGCGGCCGGCCCTACCGCCATCTCTACGAGGCCTTGAGCCACTACCAGGAGGGCCAGGGGGCACCGGCAACGCAGGTACAGCTCTGGGACCTTCGTCTCCTCCGCTAAGAGTGGACCTTCCAAATTCAGGGGTAGTCTAGCTTTGACCCCCCATGGATTGACCTTTGACCGCCTGCTCTGACGGGGGCCGTTCTGGCCCCTCCACAAGTGGGGGGTTAGGTAGCAAACCCCAGAATTGCCACCCTCCCCCAGGCACAATTCCTGGGAGTGGGAGGCTGCAGTGCCCCCCCCCCCCAAAGCAGCCTGGATTTGGCCCCAGAGGTGGGTGGGGCTTTGTTCTGTCCATCTCGGCTTCTGCTCCTCCCCCCTTTCATCAGGGTCCCCCCCCCTGCAGGTCTCCTCCAAAGTCCGGCACATCCTGGAGATTTGGGCCGGGGGCCAGGGGGTCGTCTCCATGCACTGCTTCCAGAACGTGGTTCCTGTGGAGGCCTACACCCGCGAGGCCTGCATGGTGGACGCCATCGGTAAGGGCTCGGGGGGGGGGGGGGCCCCCTGGGCTGGGGGGGGGGGGGGGTCGGGCGGGGGGGCGGGGGGGGGGGGGGAATCTCCTTCCTTGGATTTCAGCTCCCAGAATCTCCCGGCCAGCCAGGCCACCGTGGCCACTTTATCCAAGTGGTGGACTTCAACTCCCAGCATGGCTGGCTGAGGAATTCTGGGAGTTGAAGTCCGTTCATCATAAAGGGGCTCAGGTTGGAGACCCCGGTCCTAGTGCCCCCCCTTCCCTCCCACCCACCCACCCCCGTCCTAACGCAGGAGGGAGTTTCATGCATTTTCTTTCTGCATTGGGCCGCAGCTGCTTCCTCCCCCAGCCTTTCCCAGCCCTGTCCTGAGACCCCTGGGGGGGGGGGGGATTTTCCCCAAGGCCCCCCCCCCCGCCGGCATTGGCATCTTCCCTAAACCCCCCTCTATCTAGGGAGGGTGGCAGTTGGGAGGTTCTCCAAGGGGATTCCCAGCCCGGGGGCGGGGGGGGACAGGTGTGTGGTGTGATTGCCAGTCCTTTCTCTCTTGTTGTCCCCCCTCCCTCCCCAGGTCTGAGGAGGCTGACCAATCAGAAGAAGGGCAACTATTACGGCTCGGTGGCCGCCTGGCCCATGAAACGCCGGCGGAGCCTGGGGGTCTTCCTCCTGCACCGAGCTCTGCGGATCTTCCTGGCTGGGGGCGAGCGGCAGCCGGGGCCCGCGGGTACTTGAACGGGCCCCCGCCGGGGGGGGGGGGGGGGGGGGGAAGCCCCCAGGGGTCCTCTTCCCTCCAAGCGGGGCCCCCGGGGCCTGGAGCTCAGCCGAGGGGCTCCACCCGATCCCTCGTCCACACAACCCAGGGTCCAGATTGTGGGGTTGCCCGTTGCCGGCTCCTGCGCTGGACGCCGGGCGGAGGTTGAAAGCGGCTGCCCCCATGTCTGGAAGCCATTT